ATACATGAATAACTTTGTTACAATACACTAATAATTTTGAACTATAATTTTTGTTCGGAGAAAATTAGTTTTGATTTAATTTTTGCGAACACTTAAAAACACTTAATTATTTATTTTTTAATATGAAAGATTAATTTAATATTCCATGATATATTTTTTCACTTTGGTTTTAATTGCTGCATGCCTGATATAAGATCTATTTTTGGTGCTTGTGAGGATAAACATAGCAAAATAATTTAGTATCTTCTCATCTTGATTGCGTTTCGAAGAAAAACCGTAATTGAGGAAGGATTTTGCGATTATAGATCTTACATATACAATTAATTCATTAGTACATTTCATTAGGTAATTCATTTAGGTAATTCATTTAGGTAATTCATTAGGTACATTTTCCATGATTCTCATTAATTTTCGACAATGTTTCCTTCTTCGACAATTTTCTTCTTTTTCGTTATAATGGTTCAATTATTCTATGAAGATTCTGTAACAAAAATCAAAAGTATCTTGTCATTTCGATCTGTTTTACGCGAGGTTTTACACATAGATGTTATATACATGCGATCGGAAGTAAGAAACTACTATGCAACGTATACGGAAATAGAATTACTGCTATAAATAAAGGTCTGAGCAATTTATTGCATATTTAAGTTTGATGCGGTATAAAGAGATCGATACGAGGTGACGATTGTGTGCATATCTGATGGACGAGTAAGTTACTGGAATAGTTGATGATTGTAGCGACTTCCGGCAAAGAAAGTCAACGTTAAAGTGTCACACTTCGTCGGAATTATGAGCTTACGTCATGCGGCAATCAACGAGACACAACCGGGACCGTATTTGACATCAGTGTATCGTACGAATCAATTATTATTGATGGACGTATAAGAGAGTTAAAAAGATTGAGGAGTATACAAGTTAACACAAATTCATCATTTATCATTTTATCATTTTTTATATAATACTATTCCTAAAAACATTATGCTTTGTTATTTATTTACGCGCTGATGATGAAGCTGTAACTAATTTTGAATTTAAAATGAATATAAATAAGTAGTTTAAAAAATAAAAATGTACTAATAAAGAAACAAAAAACTAATAATAATTAAGCAAATGATTATCAATGCGTAAATATATTAACAGGTATTGTATACAAATATTGTATTTCGAATATATTAAAAAATGTATATAGCTCATGTTTTAATTTATATATATATATATATATATATTTCTAATTTATATACATTTATATATATAAAACAAAGAAAAGGCTAAATAAAAATTAAGCGCGGTTATCAGTGCGTCTTAACTTTTATTTAGCCTTTTCTTTATTTTTGAAATTTTAAGATTTCGGTAATAGAAATAATATATCGCTTATGCCGTTACATTTGCGATATCGCAATTATCGATGGTTTGTTTAACGAAGACTTCCTGTTTTGCTCTTACCTAAAAGACGCTCCGACAGCGATTTCCAACTTTGACCTTTTCCGGTGGACATTGTATAGGGACATTAATGATCGATCCCGCTTCGATTTTGTAAGCGTCAAAGCGCAAAAATCGCTTGTCCTCCTGCGAGTTATTTGTGATAGTTGCGCGCGTGCCCGGCGTCGACAGGATGAAAAATAACGCTATCGCGAACGTTACAGCCAATAAAAGCCTCATAGTTTGCTTGTGTAGAATACAGCGTGCAATCAACGACTGCAAAGCCCGACGAGATCTCGCCTCTCCGTAACTTATTCCGCGATCACGTCGTTTTCAATCTGCTGGAATTATCTGCGGATTCGCGTGGTTGTCACGAATAAATTTTCCTCCTTATATT